TGGATATAAGGAAGAACATGAATTATTTGAAGCTTGAGAATCGTTGCTTGCAGAATATAGTTTGCATGATAATATGTGGAAGAAATCCACTTGGACATTGTGAGAGAAATGAGGGCATGCGTATATGAAAAGGACTTTCACTGCAAGAATGAGAAGCACCCAACTGAGTGAGAGCTTAAATGCAGTCTTACGGAAGTACTTAAAGTCAGGCCATGACACTGTTCTCTTCTTTGTACATTTTGAAAGAGTTATGAATGATAAACGGTATAAGGAGTCAGACTCAGAATACCAAATTAGGCAAAAATTACATAGATTGAAGTTAAAAAGAGTTCCAATGTTAGTGCAAGCAGGCCAAGTGTACACTCTTACTATATTTGAGCTGTTTTAAGATGAGTATGATATCTTTCAGTATACTATTGCAACACCATGTGATGTGTTGGATGTGTGGCATTAATTTGTGGTTCGATTATTTGATGAACATAAAGAGTATTTGGTCTTGGTTAAGGCTAATGAGGAGATAGTCAACTGTAGTTGTTGGAAGTTTGAAATGAATGACATATTATGTGGTCATGTACTTAAAGTCTTTGACATGATGAATACTAAGCAAATTTTTGAGCAATACATATGTAAGAGATGGAGACGAGATGCAAGAAAGAGTTGTAGAATAACCCCCATTTCAATGTCAAATGAAGAGGATCTCAAGTTAATGACGACGTCACGTTATAGACAATTTTGTTCTAGAATGGTACAGCTAGTTGCTCGATACTATGGTTTTTAACCTACATATCAATTGGTATCACGTGGTGTTGAGGAATTGTTCAAGTCAATAGATAGTATGTATGCATCAATTGGTTATGGTGGCGATAATTCAATCCATGAAGAAGGAATAGAAAATGTTGACCCAAACCTTCTCTAAGTTTAAGGTTTGAAAAGAAAAGAAGGTGGTTACAAGGCTTGAGATCAACTAAAATCTTGGCATGAGAAAGCAACAAAGAAAGAATAAAAAGGCAACAAAAGGGAAGCATATGCAATTCTTCATAGCCCATCACAAAAAGAGGTTCAACCCATCGTAATTCTTCATAGCATATGCAATTACATCAAAACTCATATGAAATTAACCAATCTCATGTGATAATCAATAACAAAAAATTACTCAAAAGAATATAACAAAATATACAAGTACGACAAACAAAAATTGTTGCCTCACTTGATCAATTGCAACAAGGACAAGTATATTTTTCATGACCACCCCAACATAAGCATGTATGGGAGTGAGTTCTGCCTAAACCAGTTCATATAGTTGAAACTTCAGGCATTGCCATCGAATCAAAATTTGAAATTAGGTATTTTTTCATAAAATCAATAACAAAAAATAACAGCACAAACCTAGTCACTGGTCACTAGCAGAGTGTAGCTAGAGGTCATGAGTCGTTGAAGGTAGGAGAAGAGAAAGAGAGAGAGAGGAGACGCCCGAGTCTGAATATGGGAGCAACGATTGTTTGACGAAGTCGAAGGTAGGAAACGGGAGAAAAGAGAAGGGATTTCAGAGGTGGATTTGAAGGACAAAAAACGACATCGTTTTTGGTAAGAACTATTAAAAAAAAGGGTTAATTATAAACTGCATCCCAAAAAATGGTTCGAATCTCAATTTATACCCCCAAAGATAAAAAATCTCAATTTGCACCCTCAAATATAAAAATTTGTATTAATGTGCACCTCCAAATATCAAAAATCTTAATTTGTACCCTCAAAGATAGAAAATATGTATCAATGTGTACCTAAAACTAATTGCCATCAATTTGCTGCCTAAAACTAAATTGATAAATTATACCTAAATCTCCTCATACTTCTCACTCAATCATTTAGACTCATTTTCATTTAGAATATTACTCATACATCTCATGACATTTGTGCACGTGTAACACGTAACCACTTTTTGTTAATATCTGTTAATATAACAGTTAAAAAATATGATTTTATCCTAATAAAAAAATTATAATTTCATATACCTTTTATTTTGTGGGTCCTATATACTCTAAAATTTAAAATCAAACTTACCACTTCAATGTCCAATAGAATGTAGGTATTTAGATAGAGTGATATATTGCATTAAGTGACAAGCATGTGACAATCTGGGTATAATTTATCAATTTAATTTTAGGTAGCAAACTAACGACGGTTAGTTTTTGGTGCACATTGATACAAATTTTTATCTTTGAGGATGCAAATTAAGATTTTTGATTTTTGGGGATGCACATTGATACAAATTTATATCTTTTAAGATATAAATTGAGATTCGAATAACCAATTTATAATTAATCCCAAAAAGGTCCAAAAAAACACCGAAACGGTGCCGTTCCACCTAACCGCATCATATGCGGTCATGTTCACAGAAAACGCCTCGCTTGGCTGATTAGTCATATTGCTTTACCCAAAACCAATTGCCTTCGTATTTGCTTCGTTCTTTAATGATTCCATCAACAGTCCTTTGGGTTCTATTCGCAGCTTTTTTTCAACGAATCCAACCTTCAAAGCAACCCAACAAGCCAAGCTACACTTTGTCTGGTACTCTTTCTCTCTCAGTGAAACTACAGGACAAGATTACAGTACACCCTTTTGGTTGAATCGTTGTTTGTGAGGTGAATAGTCAAATATGGTTGGCATTTTTTCTAGATTTTCTGTTGGCAGAAATAGCATTCGTCGGACGCAAAGTGCAGTTGTAAGCATCTGTCATTTAATTATTTCTGGTTCTAACGTTCGAATGACTGGTTTCTTCAATTGATTGTCTTGTTTTGCAAACTGGGTATCAAGCGTTCTCTCTCACCTATGAAATGACTGCTCTATGCCTCTATTGAATTTTTTCTTAAGGTTGAGATTTTATTGTTGGTTTTGTTTGATTCCATTATGTGCAAATCTTTGCTTCTTTAATTTCCTCTTTCCTTTTTGGTTTGGGGGTTCAGTTTGGTAGTAAGTTTTTGGATAGGAAGATTGGGTTGCTTCTTTAATTTCGTTTTTCCTTTGGGACGGAAGTGACTATCACTCTGTGTAATTATAAGTAAACTTCTTAATGTTCTGTCTTCGATGATCAGTGCTTATTGTAGAAAAATTACCAGTCTTTTGTGATGCTCCTTTCGGGGCTTTCAGCAGCCGTTGTTTGATCTTTTGTAATGGCTTATAAATTTTTGTTGCTTGGTAATGCTATGCTCATATGAATGTCCACAAAGAATGAACAAANCTGTCATTTAATTATTTCTGGTTCTAACGTTCGAATGACTGGTTTCTTCAATTGATTGTCTTGTTTTGCAAACTGGGTATCAAGCGTTCTCTCTCACCTATGAAATGACTGCTCTATGCCTCTATTGAATTTTTTCTTAAGGTTGAGATTTTATTGTTGGTTTTGTTTGATTCCATTATGTGCAGATCTTTGCTTCTTTAATTTCCTCTTTCCTTTTTGGTTTGGGGGTTCAGTTTGGTAGTAAGTTTTTGGATAGGAAGATTGGGTTGCTTCTTTAATTTCGTTTTTCCTTTGGGACGGAAGTGACTATCACTCTGTGTAATTATAAGTAAACTTCTTAATGTTCTGTCTTCGATGATCAGTGCTTATTGTAGAAAAATTACCAGTCTTTTGTGATGCTCCTTTCGGGGGTTTCAGCAGCCGTTGTTTGATCTTTTGTAACGGCTTATAAATTTTGGTTGCTTGGTAATGCTATGCTCATATGAATGTCCACAAAGAATGAACAAGNTGGTCACTAGCAGAGTGTAGCTAGAGGTCATGAGTCGTTGAAGGTAGGAGAAGAGAAAGAGAGAGAGAGGAGACGCCCGAGTCTGAATATGGGAGCAACGATTGTTTGACGAAGTCGAAGGTAGGAAACGGGAGAAAAGAGAAGGGATTTTAGAGGTGGATTTGAAGGACAAAAAACGACATCGTTTTTGGTAAGAACTATTAAAAAAAAGGGTTAATTATAAACTGCATCCCAAAAAATGGTTCGAATCTCAATTTATACCCCCAAAGATAAAAAATCTCAATTTGCACCCTCAAATATAAAAATTTGTATTAATGTGCACCTCCAAATATCAAAAATCTTAATTTGTACCCTCAAAGATAGAAAATATGTATCAATGTGTACCTAAAACTAATTGCCATCAATTTGCTGCCTAAAACTAAATTGATAAATTATACCTAAATCTCCTCATACTTCTCACTCAATCATTTAGACTCATTTTCATTTAGAATATTACTCATACATCTCATGACATTTGTGCACGTGTAACACGTAACCACTTTTTGTTAATATCTGTTAATATAACAGTTAAAAAATATGATTTTATCCTAATAAAAAATTATAATTTCATATACCTTTTATTTTGTGGGTCCTATATACTCTAAAATTTAAAATCAAACTTACCACTTCAATGTCCAATAGAATGTAGGTATTTAGATAGAGTGATATATTGCATTAAGTGACAAGCATGTGACAATCTGGGTATAATTTATCAATTTAATTTTAGGTAGCAAACTAACGACGGTTAGTTTTTGGTGCACATTGATACAAATTTTTATCTTTGAGGATGCAAATTAAGATTTTTGATTTTTGGGGATGCACATTGATACAAATTTATATCTTTTAAGATATAAATTGAGATTCGAATAACCAATTTATAATTAATCCCAAAAAGGTCCAAAAAACACCGAAACGGTGCCGTTCCACCTAACCGCATCATATGCGGTCATGTTCACAGAAAACGCCTCGCTTGGCTGATTAGTCATATTGCTTTACCCAAAACCAATTGCCTTCGTATTTGCTTCGTTCTTTAATGATTCCATCAACAGTCCTTTGGGTTCTATTCGCAGCTTTTTTTCAACGAATCCAACCTTCAAAGCAACCCAACAAGCCAAGCTACACTTTGTCTGGTACTCTTTCTCTCTCAGTGAAACTACAGGACAAGATTACAGTACACCCTTTTGGTTGAATCGTTGTTTGTGAGGTGAATAGTCAAATATGGTTGGCATTTTTTCTAGATTTTCTGTTGGCAGAAATAGCATTCGTCGGACGCAAAGTGCAGTTGTAAGCATCTGTCATTTAATTATTTCTGGTTCTAACGTTCGAATGACTGGTTTCTTCAATTGATTGTCTTGTTTTGCAAACTGGGTATCAAGCGTTCTCTCTCACCTATGAAATGACTGCTCTATGCCTCTATTGAATTTTTTCTTAAGGTTGAGATTTTATTGTTGGTTTTGTTTGATTCCATTATGTGCAAATCTTTGCTTCTTTAATTTCCTCTTTCCTTTTTGGTTTGGGGGTTCAGTTTGGTAGTAAGTTTTTGGATAGGAAGATTGGGTTGCTTCTTTAATTTCGTTTTTCCTTTGGGACGGAAGTGACTATCACTCTGTGTAATTATAAGTAAACTTCTTAATGTTCTGTCTTCGATGATCAGTGCTTATTGTAGAAAAATTACCAGTCTTTTGTGATGCTCCTTTCGGGGCTTTCAGCAGCCGTTGTTTGATCTTTTGTAATGGCTTATAAATTTTTGTTGCTTGGTAATGCTATGCTCATATGAATGTCCACAAAGAATGAACAAATCTGGTCTCGTGCACTCTATGTAATGCAATATCTGATCTCTGCATCCGAATATGTAATCAAATATTATAAGTTGATTTGTAGTGGTGATTGTGTGTTGAGTTGGTTTGTCCATGCAGGATGAGAGGGATGTGTTGGCCCCCAATTCAGAGGTAACAAGAACTGTTTCTGTAGCTGGAGCTGCCCCTGTTGTTGCTCATGGGATTGAAGTAGTAGTTGAGTTTAAGCCAGTTGAACACCCGCCTGAGCCACTTGACAATGATCAACCACTTCATTGCCCATTGCCTGAACCTTCAATTCTTAATGTAAGCTTAAAACTTGTATTGCACTTACTGGATTTTGCTATACATAATTGTGGGTGTTTGTCATCGTGCATGTAGAAAGTATTCGGTTGGCTCGTGCAAGAATCTTCTTTTCAGTATATGACCAAGAAAAAAAGTTCATTAATGATGGTTGGAATTTGTACAAGCAAAACTTCATGCAAGTTTGGTGAGAATGGTTTAATTTTTGCCAACTTTAGGATGTCTGCCTTGGTTGTGATAGACGTATATTACTTCATGAAAAATATGCCACTTGAATCATGGTAAAAGATTTCTGAAGAACACTGGACTATGCAATAAGATGCTTCTGACCTTATTATGCAAAGCCACCATGATTTTTGTAGTTCGCAAGGATACCCTTTAAATCTGTCCTCCTAATTTGTGGTCTTTCCAAAAGTGGATGTGATTTTCTCCTATGTTTTCGGCTTTCAGATCCTTATGGGACCTTTGTTAGAACTCTCTTGTATGAGGTGAAAATACTGCCCCAGGGTCTTTGTGGGGGCACTTATACATTTGGACCTTGTATAGCCTCATTTGTTTTGTAACTGATTATTGATGTACTGTCCAATCATGACATGATCTAGTTATGAATAAAACTGTTATTTTCGTTTGTATGACAGTATCAAATGCAAGAAAGAGCTATATGAAATAAAACATAAGAAGAAAGGAACAAAGAAAGAAGAATAACATTCTTTCCTAAGANAAAACTGTTATTTTCGTTTGTATGACAGTATCAAATGCAAGAAAGAGCTATATGAAACAAAACATAAGAAGAAAGGAACAAAGAAAGAAGAATAACATTCTTTCCTAAGAAATTCAACATGGTAGATTCTGGGAAAGTATAATGACTTTCTTTTTACTTGATTTTGTTTCTTCAAATTAAGTGTTGGTTCTCTATCACTATCAGATATTTGGTCTGAAAAACCCAAGATTACCATTACATGATTGTTATGTATCATGTTGGATATGTGTTTGTGAGCAGTTTGGGAGACAGAATATATATTCATTTTTTACTCATTGATATTTCCCTAATTTAACTCGGGAGGTCTGCTGCCTAGATAAAATTGTTAGTTTTTCTTTCCTTGATAATCAGGATGGAAGAATATGGAAAGAGCGAGTATCTGCAGGCGTGCCAAGAAGGGCTGACCTGCCAGTTATGCAGGAAGAAAACCTTGTCGAACCTGAGGCAGCCGGAACAAAACCACGACCCCCTTCCAATCGTGTGATTCTACCATCCATCAGTGCCCCAGAACATAATATCCTTAAACTGCTTGAAGAGTGTAATGCATCTGGGATTTGAAATTACATGTTCTAGGTTCATGATTGGAATTCTGTCATAATATCCATATAATGAACAATTTGTTTGATAGTTTACTTTTTCAGCCTCTTCCTCTTGCCTGTTTCCTTCATTTGCTTTAGGATATGAATCTGTAAGAATCATTCTCAACTCACACCACTTGCTTATATGTTTCCTAGATGGTTGAAAGGTTAAGTTTATGACTTAATCGTAAATACTGTTTGTGATTATATTGCTGTTAGTTCTCCAATTTTTACTTGGACCTTCACATCGTCAGTGTTTCCTGAGAACAATGTATCATGTGAAAATTTGATCACCTGGGATGCAATGGACCATTTTGAGAACTCAATTCCATTGATCCAGCAAGCAGTGAGAGGTGGAAAGTTGTCCATCAGGAGCTGGAGACATAAGGTACACCTTGATGTACTACTGGCAAGAAAGGTTGTAATTGGGTTTAGTACGAGAGTTAGAAATTACAATTCTTCCATGTCGATATGACATGAATTCAGTTCTGCAGAAACTGCGAGCTCGGTGATCAAATAACTGAACAGTTGGAAATTTTTAGCCCTAAAACACTTACAATGTTTCCAAATTGATATTGAAGTTCAACCATCGATGGGATTAATTAGTAAAATACCATCACCAACTAAGATATAGTAACAGTATTTAATTATGAAAGTAAAGGCACTTTTCACGCCCCTTTCTTGTGTCGACCACTGTTTTACAAAATATGCAGGAAGCTAAACAGGCAACTCGGGAATCTGGAACGGATGCTCAGCTGTTGGGTTGAGAAGGTGTTTATGAGGCCCGCGAAGGCTTCCGTGGTTCATCCATGGCTTCCTCTGCCATGCCTGATGTACTTCTTGGACATGCTTCTTATCTTGCACTCCGTGAGCTCCACTGGCAGCTGAATGGACTAATATTGAGAAGCTAAAAATGAATAGCAGGAGAGCAAGGGAAGTGAGAAGGGGTCTCCCCTGCACCATTGTGCTTATGCCTTGTAGCAACTTGCCTGTGTGGGTGTGTGTGTGTGATTTATAAAGAGGCTAACTTTGCTTAGAAGTCAGATGGAAATCATTTCTGTATGTTAATTGCTGGATCAATTATTACGCTTTTGGTTGGTTTTACTGATGGGGTTGGTTAGGTGTCTGTGGTTGTCATGATTATGATAGAGAACTAGTATTGCTGAAACTAGCATATATTAATGATGTGGTGAGTATAATCCTTGGTGCAAGGACTAGTTTAATCAATTATGACATGAGCGTCAAGTAATTAGAGTATAAAATTAATCTTTTCTTTTTAATAAATTAAAGTTGCGTATATTTAATTTTTTTCATAACCGAAGTTTCGTGAATTTGGTTGCACTTTGTATGCTCAGTACATGTTTAGGATTACGGCCTATTATGGTGCATAACTTAGATGGGCCAAAAAGTGTTATGTCATCCCATAGCTTGGTGCTCCCATTTACATCAATGCCACATGGCAGCTCCTTATAGGTAATGCTCAACCACTCTAGATTGTACTTAAATTAGTTTGATGTCTACGTTTAAGAACAATTTTAACTATGATGGACAAAATAGTTATTCTAAATATATTTAAATATTATATTCTTTATTTTAGTTGGTCATTTTTTCAAATTCACTCTAATTATGCTCTCTATTTTAGTTGACTATTTTAACTAATTTTCAATAATATAATTCAAAAATTTAACTCAAAACATGTATAATCATCAACACAACCAAAATTATATTATAATAATAATTCTAGTTAAACTTTAAATAATACAATTTAATGACAATTTAACACTCATTCACTTTAAATAATAAAAATCAATTGCACAATACGTCTCATAAATCTAAGATTTTTCCAAATATTTAAATTAATATTTTCATAGGGTCTAAATGTAAATATTCTATAATACATAAAACTAAGCGAATTTTTAAAATTTGGAGGGGGGTTTTAAAATTTGTTTGGAGAGTTTAGAATTTGGGGGGAGGGGCGTTTCAAAAATGGGTGTCAGAATTGTTTTTTTTTTTTTTGGGGG